GAGAGAGAGAGAGAGAGAGAGAGAGAGAGAGAGAGAGAGAGAGAGAGAGAGAGAGAGAGAGATGAGCGATACAAGTTTGGTTGTTACGTACCTGTAAAGTTGCTGCGCCACGAAGGAGAAAGATAGCGGCCATAGCCGCGGAGCCTGTACCACGGAGTGATGAAGTAGGAGGGAGAAGGACAGAAGGGGAGAGACTGAGGGGGAAGAAGGAGCGGCCATAGCCAAGAGGCGAAGAAGAGGCCGATCAAAAAAAAAAAAAAAAAAGAGGGAGAAGGAAGAAGACAGCGAGGGAAAGGAGGCGAGGGAGGTAAAGAAGAAGAAGGGGATTGGTAAGAAGAAGAGCCGGCAGCCATAGCTGACCGGAGGGTTGACCGAGAGGGTTGACCGGAGGCATTGACCGGCGTTACCAGAGTTGACCGAGGGTTGACCGCAGAGTTGACCGGCGTTGACCAAGACCGTTGACCAAAACTTTGACCAAGCTGGAGTTGGTAACATCTCGCCAAGCCCTTAGCCTACCCCTTGCCCTATGGATGCGCACATACCCCTTGGTACTTGTTGAGTACAGTCTGTTTGTCTATTCTTTCTGCATTGGGTCTCTTCTGTCCTAGGTCATAGTACTCTGTGGATGAAGGATAGGGCTTGGATGACGAAACCCTAGTCTGACCTTGTAGGGCTAAGGCTGTGGCTGATCCAACTTTCCAGGGGGGCATAACCCTCCCAAGGACTGGTGCTGACCGACTGGAAACGGTCGGTAGGACTCAGTGGGCCTGAACGGCAGTTAGGGCTGACACACCAGGCAGTCTTTAAATGTTGAGGGCCTGTTTGAACCACTCCCCAACCGGACCAAGTAAGGCTGAGGATCTGTGTCTGACGACTCGAATGTCCTGGAGGTCAAACCCTCCCAAGGACCGGTACAGACCGGTGGGCTGCTCAGTGTGGCACAGTAGGCCGGAAAGGCTGAGTTGTGGGCTGAAAGCGCAGGCAGAACCAAGCTGATCACGTCGTCCTGTCTGCGACGTTAAAGAATTCTTGAGGAGTTACGGGGGATCTCCTTAAATGCCTCCTGATCAGCCACTGGTTCAGTAGTGACAGCCATAGTATAGGTCTAGGCTAGAGACCATAGTTCACAGGATCCCTGTCAGGGTTCTGTAAGTCTTAGATTGAGTCAATAGGTTGTCAGTCAGGGGTCAGAGTCTACGTGGTGAGGTCTGGAACCACTAACCCGGTTGTACACTTATCACCATGGTTGGGACCCGTAGTGGGTTAGAGACTAGCCCCTATAGCAAGGAGCAGCAAGAAAAGATGGCCGCCTTAGTTAAAGAAAATAAGGAGAGGAAAGAGCGTGAGAAGCAGGCAAAGCTAAAGGCTATCGCAGACGAGCGGGCGCCGAAGATGAAGGAAGTGGAGGAGGAGATGAAGAAAAAGGAGAAGGCTGCTGAAGAAGAAGTGGCAGCAGAGGAAGAAAAAGAAAGAATGAGGATTGAGAGCAGAGAGGGGAGTAGTGGCACGGAAAAGGACACAGACGCTGAGATTGAGAAGAAGATCAGCGAGTGGGTTGCTAATTTATCGTTGGGGGAAGACGAGGAGGCGGAGTCATATGTGAATGAGGATGAGAAGGCCGCACTGGCCGCTGAGCTAGCAGCCATGACGGACCCGATGGAACGAAGAGAGAGGGAAGACGAGCAGAAGTTGCAATGGAAGTTGAGAATGAAGAGGGAGAAAAGAAGGAGGAGAGAAGAAGTGAATAAGATGACCGCAGCAGTGACAAAGGTGCAGGAGTGTAGAGCGGAGGTGCTAGCCCAGCCAGATGATAAGGCCAAGTGGGACAAGGTACTGGGGGACCTAGAGGTGTTGAGCAAGGCCTGGATGGAGGAGCGCCAGACAAGTTGGAGCCAGGATGTAGCGTTGAGTGCCATGCGGTTTGGTTTCAGGGATTTTGCGCGCAAAATCGTCACCCACATTGGGGGCGAAGTCAAACAGTTGAGGCACAATGTAGGAAAGTTTTGTGAAGGCGCCATTGAAGGTGCAAAAGCCATAGCCACTGTAGATAGCGAGGCTAGACCCCGTAAGGAGCCTGTCAAGCTCAAGTTCCCAGACGCGTACGGGGGAAAGAAGGAGGAGAACTTTGATAACTGGGAGGCCAGTGTCAACAGTTACATTTATTTACAGCATATCCTGATAGAGGAACAAGTCCTAGTGGCCTTCCAGACCCTGAAGGACGAAGCGGCTAGCTTCGCCAGGTCCCTTGCGCGCGCAGCCGGTTGTGAAAACAACCTGGTTGCATATTCCAAAGTCAACCCCCTCTCTCAGTTCCTCAAGCTCCTTAAGGAGCGATTTGCTGACCAAACGCAAGGCGTCAGAGCCTCAGATAAGTTGCAAACAATCCACTCACGGCAATGGAGGAGTGTCAAGGCACTCAAGGGTACCATGGACGACTTGGTAGCTGTCCCGGACCATGGGGTCACTGAGCCCCAGCTGGTCCAGTTGTTTTATCGTGCCATTCCAGGGGCCCTACGCGGGCATTTCTTTGACAAGTCTCAGCAGGCCGGCATCACTTACGATGCATTGAGTAGAGAAGTCATCCTGTATGAGTCGAAGTCTATGCCAGTTACCACTTTCTGGCATAAGGACCTGGAGAAGGGGAAGAAGTGGAAGGATCATACCATCTCAGGCCAAATCAAGGCCAAGGATCACTTGATCCTGACATTAGAGGAGGGTGGTACAGAAGAGGTCCCATATGATCAGATTGAGTGGGGCCTAGGGGAGGAGTACAGTAGTGTAGGGCAAGGGAGGTCTTACGCTACTGTCGCGGTCGGAGGGAGGCCGCAAGGTAGAGGAGGAGGCCAGGGCCAAAGGGGCCAGGCCATGGGAGGCCGAGGACCGGGCGCACAGGGGGTTGGCGGACAGGGAAACCGCCAAGCGGGAGGTAGGGGTCAAGGTCNGGGCCAAAGGGGCCAGGCCATGGGAGGCCGAGGACCGGGCGCACAGGGGGTTGGCGGACAGGGAAACCGCCAAGCGGGAGGTAGGGGTCAAGGTCCCCCATTAAATCACCAGGGTAATCGGTCCCCACAGCGAGGAGGTGGAAGGGCACCTCAAGGAGGATGGCACCCAGGCTTGCCACAGGGCAGGCCCTGGGAAGACTTGGGCTTGGACCAGCGATTATGGCAGGAACGCGTGAACATGGGTCAGTGCCTATTCTGTGGTGACCCGGCGCACGTAATGAAATTTTGTCCTAAGTATAGACAGGCCCGTTGGGCTGCCCAACAGTCAAAAGGCAACCGCCAGTAGGGGTTGCAATCGCCCCTACTTCCAGGCCATGTGGAGAAGTGAGCGCGCGCGAACAGGACACTCCCAACCCACATGAGCCTATGGCAGAGGTTGCAGGCTCGTGCCTAGGTAGTTGTCCAGAGACCGCCTGTGTTAGCGTCTCTTTAGGCACGTCCCTCACAGGCGTGGCAGAAGAGGTACGGGAGAGAATGCCCGCTTGGGCCAAGATGAAGAAAGAGAGTAAAGGACAACCGATTTTGGTAGATGTAGAGGTTTTTAGAAGTAGAGTAGAGGCCCTCATAGACTGAGGGGCTACTTGTAGTTATATTAGCCGTAGGGCGCTAAAGAAGCTGAGGCTAGGACTAAAAGTCCAGAAATTAGTAGACCCCATAGTCAGTGTCCTCGCAGACAACCACACGATGCGAGTTTAGGATTATGTAGAGGGAGTCCAGGCGTATTTTCGCCTACAAAAGGATGGGAAGGTGGAGAAAGTTCTCCATTCCCTGACTCTCCTCGTACAAGATGACCTTCCTTTTGATATAGTGTTAGGAATGGATTGGGGAGAGGCAGCAGGGGCCACACTTCATTTGAGAGAGCATGAGTGTAGGCTCCCTAGCCCGGCAGATGAAGTTAAGACTGCCCGCCTGTTCCATGTGTCTGGTGTAGATAACACCTTGGAATATTGTTGTCTCAGTGCTCCCGCATTTGCGCGATTAGTAAAAAAGGAGCAGTTAGAAGACCAGGTCTTTGTAATTTATGTTAGACCTGTCACTGAGGCCCAGGAAAATGATAGTTCCACATATCCAACAATTGCCAATCTGCTGGAAGAATTCAAAGACTTGACTGAGTCGACGACAGGAGTAGTGTCGCGACCCATCCAGCATAGGATAGAGATAGAGCCTGGCAGTAGAACTCCTAAGGGTGCAGTCTATAGGATGTCCCATAGAGAGTTAGAGGAGCTTCGCAGGCAGTTAGACGAACTCCTTGAGAAAGGTTGGATCAGGCCCAATTCGTCTCCTTTTGGAGCACCAGTTTTGTTTGTCCCAAAGAAGGAGGGAGTACTCCGTATGTGTATAGACTATAGGGGTTTGAATGCGATCAAAGTGAAGAATGCTGAGCCGCTGCCCATGATAGACGATCTTTTAGATCGGGTGTAGGGTTGCAAGTATTTCTCCAAAATAGACTTGAAGTCCGGATACCATCAGATAGAAGTCCATCCTCATGACCAATACAAGACTGCGTTCCGGACTAGATACGGGCACTATGAGTTCATAGTGATGCCCTTTGGACTAACCATCGCGCCAGCTACCTTCCAGYGTTGTATGAATGACCTGTTTAGACCGTGGTTAGATAAGTTTGTAGTAGTCTATCTAGATGATATCCTAGTTTTTAGTAAGACCCTCGAGGAGCACCAGGGTCATCTGAGGCAGGTCTTGGAGAAGCTACGAGAGGCTAACTTCAAGATCAATGCAAAGAAGTGTGAGTGGGCCAAAACACAAGTCTTGTACTTGGGCCACGTGTTGGACGGAGATGGCATTAAGCCAGAGGACAGTAAGATCGCGGCGATTAGAGATTGGCCGATTCCCCACACATTGACAGAGTTACGGTCGTTCTTAGGCCTAGCTAACTACTACAGGAAGTTCGTAAGGAACTTCTCCACTATCGCCGCTCCCTTGCGCAGGTTGCTGAAGAAAGAGGCAATCCGACAATGGGACAAACACTGTACGTCTGCGCTCAAGAAGTTAAAGCACGCGTTAATAGAGTATCCTGTCCTCAAAGTTGCAGATCCGTCTTTGCCATTTGTCGTCACCACGGACGCGAGTCAGTATGGGATAGGCGCCGTGTTGCAGCAAGATGACGGCAATGGCTATAGACCCGTAGAGTTCATGTCAGCGAGGATGCCCTGTGAGAAGGTCGCTACCTCCATGTATGAGAGAGAACTCTACGCTCTCAGGCAGGCTTTAGACCATTGGAAGCACTATCTACTTGGGAGGCACTTCAAAGTGTATTCTGACCATGAGACACTCCGTTGGTTAAAGACACAGGCCAAGATGACACCTAAGTTGACTAGGTGGGCCGCAGAGATAGACCAATTCGACTTTGAGCTCAAGCCAGTGAAGGGCAAATACAACGTAGTTGCGGATGCTCTGAGTAGGAGATCAGACTACTTTGGAGCCGTAGTACACTATCTGGATATAGGGAGAGACCTGCAGGAGAAAAGTGAGGCAAGCATATGCGCAAGACCCTATCTATAGCGACCTCCTAAAGAGAGTTAGAGAGGCCCCAGAGACCGAACCAGATTACCGCACTACAGACAGGTTGCTGTTTGAGAAGACTAATGTGTTTGACCGCCTGTGCGTTCCCAACAACAAAGAGATCCGCAGTTTGATTTTAGGGGAATGCCACGATACTGAAGGGCATTTCGGTTGAAAAAGACATTAGCCAACCTGATGCGTGCGTATACCTGGCCAGGGATGAAGAATGACTGCATAAAGTATGTCCGCAGTTGTAAAGTGTGCCAGAGGAATAAGTCTACTACACGCGTGCCCCTAGGTCTTCTCAGACCCTTGCCTATTCCGGATCAGCCGGGAGACTCCGTGTCCATAGACTTCATGGACACCCAAGTCAAGAGTAGACACGGTAAGAGCCAAGTCATGGTCGTAGTTGCCCGCTTTAGCAAATATGCAGTTTTCGTTCCTTTGCCCGCAGAGGCATGTACGGATTTAGTTATACATAAGTTTTTTGACTTTTGTGTCAGTGAGAATGGAATCCCATTGTCAATAGTCAGCGATAGAGATAGTCGCTTCACCAGCCAGAACTGGCAAGAACTCATGCGAGTATATGGGTCTAAGTTGTTGATGTCGTCTGGCCTCCATCCTGAGACTAACGACCAGACTGAACAGATGAATAAGATCCTACAACAAGTTTTGCGCATGTACATTAGACCAGATCAGATTAACTGGGATGAGATGTTGCCTAAGATAGCTAGTGCATACAACAACAACGTGCATCTATCCACCTGTCGTACTCCCAATGAGTTGCACAAGTCCTTTAGACCACGCAGACCGTTCAAAGGACTGAACCGGGATCAGATTCACAGACTACCCCCGGTACCAGGGAGTTTGCAATACAGCACGAGAAAGAACTAGCAACTGTTGTTGAAAACCTCAGGAAGGCCCAACATAGGATGATAGAGCAAGCTAATAAGCACCGCCGTCCGTCGCAGTTTCAGGTAGGCGACTTAGTCTGGGTCAAGGCTAAAGAGTTTGCACCTGAGGAAAACATCTCATAGAAGCTACTGCCCGCATATAGAGGACCGTGGCCGATTCTAGAAGTCAAGGGCGGAGAGGATGGACCGTCCTATAGCATTGAGATTCCAGCACACCTCCACACATACCCTGTGTTTCATGCTTCAAAGATGCTACCGTGTGTCACAAGTCAACAGTTCCCTTCGAGAAGATCCATGATCCCCCCGGATATGGATGAAAGTTATGACATTGAAGGCATTGTAGATGAGGATGTGTTCAGAACAGGAGGTAGAGGCCGTCCCCAGAAACAATATAAGGTCCGTTTTGCCTATCAGGAGACGGAAGACGACCGCTGGTTCACGAAAACAAAACTTCTAGAAACCGCTCCCGACAAAGTCAGAGCCTATGAACGTGACAAGAAAGGTAAAGGTCCCGCCTTGGACTGAAATGTTCTCGGAGGACCTCGAATTTAGGACGGCGGGAGTGAAACGGTTTTCACCTTTTAGCAGTAGCGGATGCAGTACCCAGGGTTCGATCCCTAGACCTCACCCTACCTATGTACAGTATTTGTGTAGACCCCGAGAATTGAACCTGTGACATGTGTATTCGTAGACAGTTGGTAGGCCTGTCGTAGGTTCATAGGCAGCAGGGGTTCGATCTGTAGGTCTATAGCGTAGAAGTCTTAGTGAGTTCCGGAAGCTTAGTTGTAGACCTTCTAAAAGGTAGGCAAGTGGGCAAGTGGTCAAGTGGCGAGGCAAGTGGTGGACTAAACCGCAGTGCAATATCAGTACAATGTCGGTAGGATAGCGGTGAGTCCACAGTCAGTCAGCGGAAGGTCCAGTCAGTCCCAGTTCGGTCCAGCAAGTACCACGGGGGGACTGTGAGCACCAAGGGCCGATGACAAAAGGCAGACCAACGAGTTTCTGAAGTATAAATCAAGAGGCAGCGCCCAGCCATTCATTCATTCCTGCGTGAGCCATGCGGAAGCGCTGCCACANAGCGACTTGTGCAAGGAGGTCTGCAGATGAGCCCGGAGGACGCAATGGGCAAGAGAGAGGGAGTTAGCATAGCAATAGGTTAGATGCAGCGATAGCTGCCATAGCTGTAGTTAGTAGCGAGTGTGTGTGTGTGTTCGAGTGTTAGAGTGACGCGTGTGGGATATCCAGGGTGATCCAGTGTATGTGAACAGTGAGATGTTTGGGCGCTGAAGTCGCTGTCGCGCGCGGCGGTTTCACACCCAGACGCAGAGTAAATTTTTGTGTAGGACCTCACGGTCGTGTCACGCAGGAGTCTCTTTTTGTCACTTTACGCAATACTAACTCTGACCGTGCGCGCGTGCTATACCTCTCGCGACTCCCTACGACAGGTTAGGGATCCCGCGAGGTACAACATTACCTCCACCTACGGGAGCTGTCACCATCCCTTAGGTGGACGTATCCCTGCTGAGCTATCGACCCACGTGCGAAGGCTTTTACATGCAATCGCAGAGGTAGGCCAACCGAGGGCGTTTTCTCGATCGTCGTAGCATAGGCATACGCGCGGTAGAACGCCTTAAGACTGACCCGTATGTCGAGCCCCGAGGTGCTAACTCTCAGGACCGACTATGTAATCAGGTCGACTTCTAGGACAGTCCTCCACGCTTAACTAACTATGACAACGACTCTATGTCCCCTTTGTTGACCTTGTGAAAATGCCAGAGTCAAACCCTTAGTAATCAATCTCTCATTCTTCTCCAAAGAAGTCCCAAACAAAATGACTTCCTAGGTACCGACTGGCCTACGATCCCATCCACAAGTATATATATATATATATATCGTCACAAACAGATATATATATATATATATGTATGTATGAAAATCAGGGGAGCTGACTGAGCGGTGGACCTCACTTTCACAATTGTCGTGTCCCTTTGCCTGAATATCTCAGACGATCCCAAATTCAGAAGACAGCACAAACGTCCAACACCTGTGCAGATGCAAGACATCACATACACAGATACAGATGCAGACACAAAATGCGCTACAAGCGTCAACCTTTAATTCATTCATAGCAAGTCACTCACACCCCAAACCTTTGAAAACGACATTCCTTCCTGACTCTGACTCCTTTTACCCCAGCCCCAGACATTTTCGAAGACTCATGAGTGTGATTTGGACAATTTAGGCATAGATACAGGGGGAAGATTTATTTGTTCCCTTCTCATGTCTAATCTTAGGTGTGGGTATCAAGCCATGGATGGAAGTTGAGTCGGAGTTCTACCGACCTGTTATCAAATGATAACAAAATTGTTGTTCTTACGGATTCCCCCGTAAATTCTCCGAAGTATCGAAACTTGTAGACACAACACTGTCCAAGAGAAACTTGACATCTCTCTTCCTAACTGAGATCTAGAAAATTTCCTTCTAGACTCTGTGTTTCCTGTCTGACACCTATCCTTAACTAATCGTTTTGCGTTGTTGCCCTTTCGCTTGAGGTAGTGAATAATAGTTTACTTCCCTTTTTACTATTGCAGTAACTTTCCACAATCTCATTCTTATTCCTCTTGGGATTATCTTGTCTGAGTTTCCTTCCTTCCCACAACACATATGAAAACATTACCAATCCAACCTGTGGAAAAAATCTCATGGAAGGAATCAAATAAATGGATAGTCTCTCTCCGAGGCAAGATCTCACTTATCCCCCTCAGTATAATAAGAGGTAATTAGTTAGGATCGAATAATGCTGAGTGTGGAGAAAGTTAGCGGTGGCATGGCAGACCATTCAGGACATATCTATTTGTTATTGGAGTTTGTTTGACAAAGGCAAATCTTTTGGGTTTTGACCCTTGTGAGTCAAAGCACACTTAGCGGTAGGCTTATCCTATGGCTAGTCACTGATAAGGCAGGTATCCCTGAAACCTACCTACTCTTATATCAGACTAGTCACTGATAAGGCAGAATTTCCCTGCTTCTCTTATCACTGGCTAACCCTCAATAAGGCGGGTGTCCAAGGATCCTTGTTATTCTTATCACTGACTAAGCGCTAGGATGTTTATTGATAAGGCAGGTGTCCTTGAAACCTCACTACTCTTATATCAGACTAGTCACTGATAAGGCAGGATTTCCCTGCTTCTCTTATNTAGGTAAATCAATGATAAGGCAGGTGTCCTTGAAACCTCACTACTCTTATATCAGACTAGTCACTGATAAGGCAGGATTTCCCTGCTTCTCTTATCACTGGTTAACCCTCAATAAGGTGGGTGTCCAAGGGCCCTTGCTACTCTTACCACTGAAAAGAATGTTGGATTGGTCAGTGATAAGGCAGGTGTCCTTGAAACCTCACTACTCTTATATCAGACTAGTCACTGATAAGGCAAGATTTTTCTGCTTCTCTTATCACTTGCTAGCCCTCAATAAGGCGGGTGCCCAAGGATCCTGCTCTTACCATTGACCAAGCGTAAGGCTCATCGGAGTTAAGGCAGGCTTTCCCTGCTATTCTTACCTCCGCACAAGTCTTACTGATGGATCAAGTTATCGCTTTGGATGGCATTCGAGCCCTGAATCGTTGAAAGTTTGAGGACTTATGCTGGAGTCAGATGCATAATGAGAAATAATCAGTGTGATCCATGACAATTGATTATTGCCAGCTCAAAACAAGGGTACCCATCATCGTTTAGATGAAGTATAGAGAAAATGATCGTGAGAGGTTGATAGCTTGTATCCATACCTCCAATCAATGCCCACACAACAAGATTGCTGTATCCAAAACAATCAGTTCTCACTCAGCCAACCTTTTCTCTACCCGCAAGAGTTATTGATTCTGAATCCCTAACTCTTATGGTCATTGTTACGATGATAGTCTATATGAGACAGTACCTGGGTCGAAGTAACGTACCTCGTCGTTCCCTGCCTCCAGAGTTCCGTCTAAACTCCGGCAGAGCTCCCGCAATCGCCCTGTTACATGGATCAAATATGGAATGGGAGTCTTTTGCGCATGAGTCCTGATCTCAGTAAGCCATTTGAAATACTATTTTTTACTCACGTTGCTTGAAGGTGGTTGTGTGCTTATATGGGGTTTAGGCATAGGAAGGCGAAGGAGGATGAAGGATGTAAGAGCCGTCATACTTGTTGGCGCCCCTTCCTCGCTCTGTTGCCTCACACCCCTGTCTGATTTAGATTCCTATTCTAGTATGTGGTGCCAGTGACAATAGTAACAATGATAATAATAATAAATATAACAATAACAATAATAATAATAATAATAATAATAATAATAATAATAATAATAATATCACTAATAATAATAACAATGATAATAACAGGGGTGTGA